GGGGGGGGGGGGGGGGGGGGCTATGGTGCGGGTTAGTGGGCGATGGGGAAGGCTTCGTCGAGCATGCAAAACAGCGGTGACATAACAGAGCGAAGAGGTTGGTCGGGTGCTCTGAGCGGCTGGCGTGTCGCTGGGGGTTGGTGTGACCACGGTTCTCCTTGGAAATAGCTGCCTTTCGACGGAAAAAAGTTCGCTGTCGTCGAGGTGCGGTTGGAGCTGTTCCTGGGAACGGTTGGCGGTTGTGGCCTCTTCGGAGCGGAATAAGCCGAGTGGAGTGGACTGGAGAGGAAGGGAAGGGGAAAGGAACTGGGTAGACGGGGTTGGCATACCTTGAAACGCGGAGCATCAGGCTACTACTACTACTACTACTACTACTACTACGACTACAGCTGTCATTTTTTGTTATGTTGTGGCGTGTTTTTTTTCTCTCTCTTGTCTTGTTGGCTAGAATTGATTCTGGGTTCTGTGAGAAGAGTAGGAAAGAGCGGGGTTGATTTGCCGGCGCTTTTCCTCCGACGTTACTGGATAAGAAGAAGGGAGGGAGGGGGCACTGGTGAAATTTCAGTGAAACGTGATCTAGCACCGTACGCAAGGACAATATTTGGCAAGTGCCGGGTAATCCCAAGCAAACAAGGCGCCATTGAAAGAACCCTTTTCTTGGTGGTGGCCTGTGTCGCCTCGCGACGCTTCCCAAGTTTACAAGTCGGGGGGTGAGGGGATGGCGCTTGCCGCTTCGGGCCGTTTACACGCGTGGCACGAGGAGAAGAAAAGAGGGGGTTGACGGGTAGGGAGGGCGGAGGGGAAGGAGGCGAAGGAGGGGGGAAAGAATTTCACGCACGCAATGCGAGTACTATTATTATAGTAGTAGCTGGAGAAGAGAGGGGGGTGGTGTACACGCCTATCTTGCTTGTCTGGTGCTGTCGCTGTTGTTGTTGTTCTAGGTCATGTCAGGTAAAATGTGTCTAATGAGTGTTTATCCTAGTAGGTCTAGGGGCGTGAGGGTTGGTTCCCTCTTCTGGAGGTCGCATACGGAAGAGCGGGGGGGGGGGTTGTCGTTTTTTTCGACCCCCGGCGGCGGAATGTTTGTGCTTTTTGGGGCCACCGTGTGATGAGCGCTCGTCACGATGGACGAGTGGGTCACGAACAAGCGGTGGGCGCACATCGTACAACAAGCTCTGTGGGAGGCTTCCTTCCCCCCCGTACCCCGCCTGTGCCCGCTTGTGTACGTAGTTACAGATCAGGGAGATGGTACCGTTCGAGACAGGCTGCTGTCGATCCGCACGCGTGGCACTGTTATTAAGAAGGGCGCGCGTGGTTCGCACATATGCTGTAGGGTATGCTGTAGTGGAGGTCTCAAGCTACCGAAATGAGAATCGCTTACTATTCCTGCTGGAGAAGGTTGAAGGCGAGGGACCCACCAACTACGATAGTGTCCAACGCTCGTTGTTTGTGCGCAGGCCACGTTCATGCATGTATGCTGCTGCCGCTGGGTTCTTGCGCACGTGGTTGTCAAGGCCTCGGCGTGTCGCGGCTTGTCGTGTGCTTCGACATCGCGGCAACAATAATAGCGGTTATAGCACAGACAGCTCGGCATTCCCTCGACTACTCGTAGGCATGTGAGATTCTCCTGGGCGGGGGCCTGAAATAAATGCGTTCAGGTTGAGAAGCGTTGAAGAATGAGTCCACCACGTTCGTCCCTGTTACAAACTGCGGCTAACGTGATGTGGCGACGGACGGACTGATTGTCACTCTCTCTCTCGGATGTTGTACAATATGTGTGGTAAAGGCGGCTCCTATCCTTTTGGGACAAACGTCCACAATCCTTTCAGCTTCCGTCAGGCTGTTTTGTTGGTAGATTACATACCTACGCGTGCTGTCTACCTTTCGCGTCGCCTAATTGTCAGAAACGCACCCAACCCCCCCGCTGTCGCCTCTTTGAAAACGTCTCTTCAACTATGACGTATCATACGTGCACCGTGTTTCTTACGCTGCAAACATCATATCTTGCCGGTTTTTCTATCCTCAGTCGCGCATCGTTATTTTCAGTCGCACTCGGTACCACTGCCTGCTCGCAAAACCACACTTATAGATAGCCCCAGGCGGCACCGGGTGAGTGCGTGATGTTTAGTCCTTTCGTGGACCAGATGATATAGATTGATCGCCCCTTCCGGAACTCCATCAACCCATCAACCCAGCGGCCGGGGCGCGGCCTCGCGGTCTTGCGGGGACAGCGGTGGAATAGAAAACCGAAAATTGACGGAGGCATTTTCATGCCCTATTGCGGTTTGTGTGTACAGTCCCGCGTGCCCGGTAGCGGGCCGACGACCGGACTAGACTAGCAGCTTTTAGCCTGCGTACAGCTCATTAGCTGCGTACGTTATGTGCACAGCAGCACACGGGACTGTACACAGAGCAGCTACGCAGACCAACAGCCAGACAGATAGAACCGCGCCACTCGGAGCTCCCGAGAGGAAAGACTCATATACCATTGGAATTGCGGCAAAACTCTGTATACTGTACACAGTACTACAGCAGGAACGGAACGTGGTTCGGGGGTGACAGGTGACACACTTACCGCTCTCTCGGTAGGGGGCCAGTGCGGCGACGTCCGGATGGCGATTGTTGCGAGAAACTGCTGCCTTTGTAGCAGCTGGTCTGTCCCATGGTCATTATCAAGACCTTTTTTTGCGTGAAATATTTTCGCTGTTGCTGTCTTACTACAAAGTCAACCTCTTCTGGTCTGCCTTTTTGCCCGTGAACTGCGCTGCTCGCGTGTTATTTCGAGCTAGACGCACATATGTTGTCTAGGGGCTGAAGGACATATATGCATATGCATCCTATTTGGGTTGTTGGAAGGACGTACACCTCGGGGTTTTTGTCGTACGAACCGTGACCAACAGAAGAGGTGCAAGTGAGGTAGGAACGAGAGAGTCGTTTGGGTCTGAGCAGCGCGTTGTGAGAGTACACGCCCTCGTATTGGTGCTGCATTTTTGTAGATCTTCTTGTAAATGTTCCAAAATTTCCAGCTGCCAGTCGGAATGAAACGGTCAACTGGACTATGTGACCAAGTCGAGACAAGCAAAGAATAAACCGTTACACATCAAACTCTGAGCCAAGAGGGGCGCACACAGCAGTCATGAATCAGACATTCACTATGCAGAACCCCGCACACGAGGGACAGAAAACCTGTTCGATGTAGCCCAACACGGTTCGGGCTTGTGGTATATTGAATATTTTAAGTTTGAGAAACCCTTCTCTCCCCACTGGTAAGCACCGTCCGATGAGAGCATTTACCCAATGCTCCCCGCCAAGAAAGTCGACGGGTGGTTATTGCGGAATGGTCTACAGGGGAGAAGTTCAACGCACCCCAAGCACAAAGGGTTTGTTGTCTGTCTGGTGAGGCGAGCGCGCGTGTTGTGCGCATCACACAGACAAGGCTTGACGAAGAAAGAGGATCGTTGAGGATGTTGACCAATATATAGAAGAATGGGGCCACTTCCTCCTCTCGTCAGGCGCCCGTCTGTCTTCTCTTCCCCCGGGCTTCTGAGGCACAGAGGTGTCATAGGTTGCCTCTCGTTATTGCGCGAGCTTCGATTGATGGGTTGTTGTTGTCCATCTCACACTTAACCTGTAAAAAAGCACCACAATACACCAAACCTGACGAACACTTTACTGTTGTTGTGGTAGAAGTAGTGGTGGCTGTTTTACCCCGCCGCTGGTGTGCCTCTTTTGTCACTCTGTTGACAAGTTCCAGCCACAGGGTACAGGAAGCAGAGGATGGAGGTTGATGTGAGCGTCGTCACTTTCTTTTCATGATTCCTAGTTCGACGAGCCATCGCTTGATTGATTGCTTGCCCTAAATACTCTCGACAATCATATTTCTAGTCTTGGCATACGTGTGACTCTCTGGTATTCGTGTAGGTATCTAGGTTGAATTGACGTGCCGCAAATCTGGCAGCGAAAAGGATTTCGATTTTTGTGCCTGGTGTTCTGGACATTTGAGACGCTATTGAAGATGACGTGCATCTTAGTTGCGGATCGTGCAGTAGTGTTTTTGCACGAACCGCAAAATAAGACATTCACAGAATCTCAAACAGCTTCTCCAACTCCGGAACACCAGGCATATTGTTGAACAAACCGCAGTACCTATAATATGCACGGCATCTTCACCAGCGTCTCCAACTCCTGGTAAAAATGCGAAATCATGTCGCTGCCGACGTGCGGCACGTCGATTGAACCTAGTACTCCATACTTGGGATCTGGACCAGAGGAGGGTGTGCACAAACAGCATGCTTAAAACAATGCTTGCCCAATTATGCCATTATTCGCGCGAAGTGCACTCAAGCCTTGATAAGCGCCCTCTTCGTAAATAGGCGTCGTGTGTCGCCAAAAACAACAACGAACAAGAAATACACGCTTCCTTCGCTTCCCTCCCCGGTCTAATTGATGAAGGTACAAGTCACAACGGTGGAAAATTTCTACCCGCATTTCGTTCTGTCCGGTCAGGTGTGTATCCGCCTGCTGCTTGATTCAGCTGCTGCTAATGCTCGTGTTCCTTGTTATTCTTGCTGTTGACGGGATTGACGGTGATAATCTTCGTTCCAGGCTTCGTCCACGGGGCTGAAGAGAAACGTGAGATTTATCCGTCGGTTCTCGTATCCCTCCCTGAAGAGGAACTTGTCCGAACGGTGCAGAAGCCGAGAATCGAAAACGACGACCCTGGGCGCGCGAAGAGCGGGTGCAACCGAACATGCGGAGGGGACAATACTGCCAATTAAGAAAGTTCGACGTCTTGTCGTAATTTGTTTGCAATGGAATCGGCCATCCCACAGTATCGGGCGATGACTGAAAGTCGCTATTGGGGTTGGTGGTGTAGTATAATAAGTGGTCTTGGTTGGTGGCTGGGTAGAGGTGACGTTGACGTAGATGGCGGACATTTCGTTGCTGTCTCTCACGTTTTCGCCTCTACAACCCAGCAGCACGTGCTTCACACCCTGGCCTGATTGATCCCCATCGGTAAAGAGCGCCGAGTCCAGTTCGGGGCACGTTTTGGTTCTTACCATACTCATCAGAGGGCCAGCATTGCTGCGGCCGCACTTCTTATTTGCTACAAACAGTCTACGCCGCTTTTAAGGACACCCGTGTTCTTTTATATGCTCCCATAACGCGGGGAAGTGTCCTTAAGACCGATACCTCCCTCCTCAATATGTATATCTGTGGGGCACCCCTTCTTCTGAGATTTGTTTCGTCCTTCAAGCGGGAAGCTAGCTGACTTGAGATGATGAGTGTCCTTAAAGTGGGGACGACTGTACCTGTTCTGGCGGTACGGCACCGTGACCGCGAGGTCATAGACGCCTTCGTCCTTCAACCACGACTCGATGTCCGACACCCGTGATGAGTTGTTCCACTGCTTCATGTCCAACTGCGTGGGTGGCGTTGAGTACGTACGGGGCGGGACGGGTGAAAGGGACGAGGATAAAGTCTGCCTTTGAGTTGGTGTTGTTGTCTTCACATGAAAAAACGTTCAGATATCTTCATGCAACACATCCTCCTCCTCCTCTTCGGCATCCCTAACCTCCGGAGGAAGGCGATGAAAAGTGTTTTCTTCGTGGTCGCAAAATGTTTGTGTGTGTCATCCCTGAAACATGCAGGTCATTATCTTACACCTCTCGGTATATATTCTGGATGCACATTCAACCGGAATCACACAAATGCCGCTACGCTGTCAACCAACTATCTCGCGGCCTTGATTGATTGGGTCATAATCCAAGGAGAACTTTAAGTTGCCCACTTTGCTTCAGTCTCAACATTTGATGACACATGTCCTAAGGGCTGGCCTTCGCGTAGGACCCTGGACATTCACCCTTCGCATCTTTCACGCGTTGAGTTTATCGGCGATGGTGATGATGATGTTGGCTTGCGTCAACCAAAGGACAGCGTGTTCGCAAGGCGAACAAGCAACACCCCCCCTCAAACATCATTCATTCTTCAATTCTCTTTTTTTCAAGACGACCCTTGACCCAATCGTTGGCAAGAACCAACAAAACAACAACTACAACAACAACAACAACCGCTGTTCTTTGAACCAGAGCTTGGCCAAACCGTGTAGGTCACATATATATCCTAGCGTTGTTCTTTGAACCAGAGCTTGGCCAAACCGTGTAGGCCACAACAACCTAACGGGCCACCAAGGTGCATGCACACCACACAGCGGAAAGAAGTGCCTACCGTTCCTCCTGAGGAAGGTTGGTTCGGGTCTTCTCCGCTCGGAGGAACCTTAGGATACACCACCAGCCCCCCCGAGGAAGGATCCAGGTTGGCATCGTCGGGCGTGACCCAAAAGTTCAGGTTCACCGTGGCGTGGTCGCTGTGGGTCGCAATGCCGTCCATGCTGTTCATGAGGTTGCACGAAAACAAAAGATGGGTGTGTGTTGCGCGAGGTTTCGGATTGAAGCTGATTTTTGTCGGGGGGGAGTTGTATATTTATCCAACTTGTATTCTTACCCAATACCAATTGAACGAGGTTTTGTTTTCCTGATCAAGGGATATGCCTCACTCCACTCGCACCCCGAGCTATTTTGTGGCATTGCCAAGGAAGGGTTGGTACATACACAATACGTCTAGTACTACAATCTCACCCATGCTCCTCCCATGCATGCATACAAACGATGGTAATACAATCGCTCGTAAACACGGGTTATATCAGATGAGTGATCGGCAACGAATAGGTAGCAGGTGTCACAGCTATTTAGCTCCCGGTGGAATGGCGCGTTTCGTGTTTTAGAAAGCACACACGTGACAACAGGAACACGCTTGTTATGCATATGATGTAAAACGTTGGCTTGCCAACGAAGCGAGCAGCGCTCATGCAGAAAGCACCTTGTGTCGCTGTCGAACTTGTAGGCCCAGAGGTTGGACAGGGTCATCCCTTCCAAGACTTGAGGCAGCCGCTCCTGAAGCTCGTGCGCTATCTGAACCAGCCATGGGCTAGTTGGGTGCACGCGACAAAAACATGATGATGGTGCAGAAAAAAGAACCAAGAGTGAGAAGTTTCAATGAACTGTTAAGATAAAGCGGATTTGATTCGTGGGCGGTGACCGGGGCCCCAACGGGGGGGGGCATAGATGGTGAGGGCCTACGACGGAAACCTACGTAGTTGCCAGGTAGCGTGCTCCCTTCCGACACAATTCCTGTCTCGACCAGAATCGTGACCAAGGCGCCACATACGGGGCGTTACGTTAAGTTTTCCAAATACATACCCGTCTTCGCTGATGATGCGTGCGGGGCAAGATCAGCGCTAACCGGTCTGGTGACTGGACCGTTCGTGATGTCGTCTCACACTCGCACGCCTTGCTTGGTAGTGTCTCTCGTGAAGGCACACAACGGGTCTCCACCCATGCCCAATGTTGCGTTTGTAACACCTGTTTGACGTGTTCTTCCAATCTATTTTTGCTCCACCTGCGATCTATGTCCAAAAATAATCCCAGGAGCCTTATCATCCTGAATAGTAGCGATTCCGTTCGAAGCACGGACACTGCTTCTTGCGCCAGTGGTATTAGAAAAAATGTTTTTTTCAAGCACTGCCGGAAGTACAACGCATTGGGTACTTTTCCCGCATTTTGCGAAAAAGCATACAATGGTGGTTCACCTTAAGAACGGCTGAACTTGACGACTACGCTCAACGGACATACCACCCCACAACCGCCATCCATATCTATCATCTTCGAGGAACGGCCGTTGTCCTAACTGACGGGTGGGGGGCGCAGGGGGGGGGCTCACCTGGTAAGGCCGTCGTTGAAGTATGCCCCCAAGTAGCCGGGCTTAATGTCGAAAAACACCTGTGGGTGTTTACAGGGGATGGGGTGGGGGGGCGGTCGTACGAGATTGCATCTTTTGTGTTCGAACACTCTCGATGTTATGCACAAAGTAACTTTAAGAGTTCATGGGTGTGGCAGAGGAGATAGCACCAACAGCACCCAACAACAACAACAACAACAACAACAACAACAACAACAACAGCGCACCGTGGCCTCCCGGCAGAAGTCCAGCACTCCTTGCAAGGCCTCCGGCAAAAGAAACCTGTTGTGTTCGTTGGCGTGTTGGCGACAATCGGACACTGATTGGTGGTGCAGTCGCAGAGAAGCAAGAGCCTGCTCGGGCTTGCAGCAAATAGCACAACCAAATGTTGTAGTAGGGACAGGGGCACCGATGCATCTGGAGGCTGAAAGTTTCGCGCCCTGCCGCGAACGTCGCACGGATGGCTGTCTGTCTGACCGTTCCCCGTGGGGTCATCACCCGTGAGAATGCGTGGGGGGTGGCGGAAATCTCACCGCCACAGCAGGCATTAGGTTCATTGGGTCCGCTTGGTGTGCCTGTTCTCTTTGCGGGGGTGGGGGGGTGTACTCATAGTCGTGCATGCCGTAGTCGTTAGACCATTGACCTCGCGTCCCTACAAAGCCGGGACGGAGCACGCCGGGTTCTCACCGGACCAGGCTCTCACATCACCAAGCGCGAAGCGCCGTGAGGTATTCGGCGAGTCGCATGAAGGGTGAGCTGCATCCTGCTAAGGGTGTTCGGCATCTTGTGCTTACTTCCTGCGTACGGATGACAGCTGCGTATGACTTAATTTACTTTCTGGTGCTTTCACTTCCAGAGACAGTTATAAGCACTGTGTAACTGCCTCGAGGATGCTTGACCATTTTAACACAACGTGGTGCGATCATCTCCCGTTGCGCGGAGCGAGGGTTCTCCACCCTGCACAACATGATCTACTCGACCACCATGATGGTTACCGCCAAAAAAAAAACAGAGGAAAAAAAAAACGGTGACCTGGTTGCCGAGTTCACGAAGTGAAATGGCTTGTTTTACAACGTCGTTGCCAAGCGACGAAAACGCAATCCCGATGGCAAACACCAAGTGGGGGGGGGGGGGAGCTAGAAGAAAACAATATCACGAACCAATAGAGAACGCAAGAAACAACTACGAAACAACTTCCTAGAAGCTTGACAAAATGTCCCACCCGCCCCTTGATTTCGCTCTCATGCCACAGGCGTCCCATCGCCCATCGCCCATCCTGCCAAAGCGTAGAACAAGCTCTCTCGACAGGTTCTCTCCTACACTTACACCTTGGCTCCTCCAACCCGACGTTGGCCATCAATCAACGCAATACGTGACAATAGAGTATTTTCTCTCTCACCCATCGAACCAAAGGAGTGGGAGTTCCTGCGACAGGTACTCGTCCTCAATCGCCCTCCAGTCCAGGTTGGGGTTCAGCGCTCTCCTGAACCCCGTAGGGTGGTACCCCCCCCCTAGATCCCCATCTGCGGGCCCCTTTGGCACGTGAATCACGGAGTTGTAGGTTCCCCGGAGGCGTCCGAAGTCAGAGGTCCCGAGGCCGTAGGTCAGGGCTCGAAGTCCTTGGCCAAGCTCCTGTGGTCGTTGTACGTAAGTAGGCATTCGTGCGAGTGGATGGTTTGAAGTGGTGGAGGGTGCATCACCAGATGTTTCGTTCTTCAAGCGGTAGGCTTCGTGGATATCTCGATGGATGTGTGAAGAGTGTTGCTCGACCCCTGGGAGTGGGGGTGGGGAGGCGTACTCTTATGTTCTGCAAGCCTTATCGGTTAGACCATTGACCACGCATCCTCGAGAGGACGGAGCATTGTTCCCACAGGGCCGATCACCGATGGCCAAGGAGTGGGGGTGGAGGGCGAAGATTCGCCGTATTAGTCATATACGGGGAAGCAGCGGGTACCTGTTGTTCATACACAGGCTGGCGAGAGTAAAACCGCGACGCAGAAACACCTCGGCAAGAGCAAGGCGCCTTGGCTGCGTTTGATTACCACCGTCCTCAGCTTCATCAGCGGCGCCCACCACCACAAACAAAAGAACCTTGTCGCGTGCTACTTACTTAAAACCATGCCCGTTCTTTGATTTCTAGAAAGGTGTACCCGCTTTTCGGGGTACTACCAGTTGGCTTGTGACCATGGAAGGTGTCCGCGTCGGCTGGACCAGTACGGACAATTGAAGGTACTTACTGAGGGGAGACCGATGACGGTTTTTTTACGTTAAGACAGCTCCCAACAACATCCATAACAGGGCAAAGACTCACCTTTAGCTGGCCCTTCCTCGCCTGAGAAAGGCTTGCCTCAACCAAGTCACCCACCGTTCCGTACTCCTCCGCGAGCCGTTGGAACTCCGGGGGCAGGCGCCCCTTCGCGACAAGGTATTCCAACTTTCCCGTATAGTATGTACCAGAAAATGTAAGTACCCAGACAAAGGTCCGCAGGACAGACAGATAGGTAGGTAGGTAGGTAGGTAGGTAGGTAGAACGAACGGCCAACGAGTGTGCGCACGCGTTTTGGAGGGGGGTTAGGGAGGTGAGGGGGGAAGGAGGTAGGGCGCGCGAGCGATGGGTAGCGCGGGAGCGCTGCAAGCAACACGTTCTGCAGACCACAGGCGAAGCATGGGTTCTTAGGCCGTACGCAAAGTGTCGAGAAGGTAAAATTAAGTTTCGATCCTTATGTGAAACGAAAGACCGTTGGATCAACGGCAAGATGGGACTCCTGTGTGCGCGCGCGCGCGCGTGTGTGTGTGTGTGTGTGTGTGTGTGTGTGTGTATTGTCGCTTCCGATCGAGATGGTTGTTACAATGCTTCACAAAAGCAGGCAACAAGAAACTAAACCGGAGAGACGGAACACTTCGGTTCCTACACGGTACCTCGGCGAGCCTGGCGAGGACACTTACGGTCTTTTGTCGGATTTGTCACGGACCTTGTACGAAACCACGCCTGCGAGTGCAATAGGTGCGGGGGCGCACACGACACGCGGCGGCCCCTTTGATCTATGTCTAGGTAGACTCCGAAGAGAGTTATGCTACACGGGAAGAAGAGATACCGGGTGCAGCAAAAAGAAGGTAAGGCACCTCGAGAGAGAAGGCAAGGTACTTCGAGACAAGAAGCGGTCAGGTCGAGCCCATTCAACGCGTGCCGATCAGCATCACGCGTCACACCACCAGCATCATGCGTTGATATGCGACCGAAGCATCCCAAGACGGCGGTGCTAAAAACTCTAACGTCCGTGCCGGGTTGTAGTGCCGAAAGGAAGACCGGAACTCCAACCCCGGCGTGAACCATGGGGTTCAAAAACGCGCCACCGCCCCTCGCGAAGCGTCAAGGTTAGGGCACACAACGGGGTTGCAGCAGGACCAACAGACGCAGCACAAAAACAACGACTAGAAAACAATCTCAAAGAGCTTAGCGAAGAGGGGGTGAATGAAAGCTTGCGCGCCACGCCGAGATCGAACCGCCGTGCACCTGTTCCCGATCGTGGTCCAACTTGTGCGGCGCTGTAGCGAAGTTGCCCCCACGCGCGGAGGGGTCGAAGACGTCTGCCCCCCAACCGCTCGACACCTTTAAGCCCTGCAAAAGGGGGGGTACGCAGAGTGTCGCGGGAAACTTTGATTAATAGACGTGTTTCGGGCGGTGTCTGTGTGACTGCTGGCTAGGTGAGAGACTTTCGTGCATTGCTTGGAAAGATGATTTCAAGCAAAATTGTGTACGAGAGAAGACGTTGTTCGGTAACAATCGTACCGGTGGTCTAGAGTATCGCAAAACAAGATGCACTGGTCCTATTTGAAAGCTCACCCTCGAGATCGTGAGCAGCAGCCTGCGACAACGCTGATCGAGGCTCGCGGCGCTTGGAGAGCGGAGTTTCATCTACGTAGCGCAAGACACACATGCTGCACGTGCTTCGGCGTTGTTGGCCTTTCCCAACGCCCTCGGGCATATTTTACCTAGTAGCAGGCTCACCTCCGATGCGGCGCGAGCCCAGTTGCTCGCCGCTCGAGAGTTAAACTCTCGCACGATGGCTTCGTAGGGCTCGAGAAACACCTCCAACGCATCAGGCACGGTGTTATTCTCGTCGCCGTTGTCCCCACCACGTTCATAACCACCACCACCGCTGCCAATGACGCCACCAGCATCGCTGCTATCGCCGCCTCCGTCCCCTCCTGTGGTGATCATCTGCCCACGGTTGCCACGCTCCCCAGTCGCGAAGGATCCTGTATCTTTCGCAACGGCGGAATCTTTCGGCCATGGGGGTCCGCCGCGTCGTGCTCTAGCTAGCTCTTGGTACCCTCTCGCCGCCGACTGCAGATCGCCGACGTTCTGCTGGTAGTAGCTCTCCCTAAAGGCGGCTTGGACTGCTCATCATCACCACCACCGTTGGTCGCCAAGAAAAATCACGCAGCAGCGAGGGGGGAAGCAATACGCTGAATGATGAGTGAGTGCCCCCGGCTGTTTTCCAGAGGATCGCAGCTAGTTGTCAGTGCACTGTGCAAACCCTGTGGCTCGTTGTGCATGTAACCCCGAGATCTTGAGCGACCAGCGAACGGATGACAGTAGTCCCGTTGGGCGCTAGAAAAGGTATCTGTGCTGAATGAATTGGCCTGACCGCCTGCTTGTTATCATCGTTAATTTGACTGCAAGACCTAGTGTGTAGACTATTTCTTCCCCCCGGATATCAGGAGCATGGTTCGCCTTCACGACTATCGTCTCCATCTGATTGTGCTCCCACACACACCATTATCGGCCGTGCCAGCGCCACTTCACAGTGTTTCTCTAGACATCACGAGAATATTCAGTCAAGCCGCTATTGTAGGCTGCCTCGTTTACTTTGATGGATAGGAGTTGGCTGATTGTACCAGTCCCATACTCCGGTAACATATCGCACCCGACACGGTGGGATTTGGCGGCTGCAAACACGTAAACGTGCTTTGGTATCATAGTCCTAAACATGAGCTTGCAGAGCGCAGACCTTACCACCGTCGAGAGCTCGGTGGGGTGACAACGTTGACCAATCCCGAGAGGAATTCGTCACCATGGTAATTAAATACCAAATAAGAGCTAGATGGATTTCCTGCGGGCTGAGGGTACACGAGGTTGCAGGGTTGGCAATCGATGCTCGCTCGTGGCATAAGAGCCCTTTTCTTCGCGGTTTCTCCTCTCCTAGACCTCCGTTCGTCGCGAGATTCGCGCCTTCCGGTAGCCCTGGGCTGCGAGGGCCTTGTCCGTGAGCGGCTTGCTCTCGGAGCGGCCGTCGCGAAGAGCTAACGACGACAGAAAGTCGCGTCTCCGAGATCTACCATGACTGCACCAATCGCAGCCCGGTGTATGAACAACGACCAGGTGTTCCGGCCGGCCGTCCTCACAGGTTCTGTAAATACCAGGATGAAAAAACTTTATTGTGGTCGCGAGTGTTCGGAGGACGCAGGCTGACATGATCGGGGAATTGAACAGACCGATAGGCTCCCTCGATCCAGCCTGCTAGAGGGGTCCAGAAGAATCGTCCCCTGACCCCTAGGACACACGTCTCCTCGTGGTGGTTGCCCGATCATGAACCCAGGTGTCTGCTTGTTACCGGCCCTCGAAGCCAGGTCCGTATCACGATCGTCGGCATCGTCACTCGTCGTCACCGACCCGGAAACCAGTCGCCATGAACCAGCAACTACAACCCGGACATCAACCCCTCAACCCGGCGGCGGCCCAGTCTGCCCAAGGTCAAGGGGGGCACCGCACCTGCCTCCGCCGCCACCACTTCCGCTTCGGAGCGGGACACCGCCCTCTGCCAGGGGGGGTGGAGGCCCCTCCCGCTGCCGCCGGTGCTGCTCCCCTTTTACCAGGCGGGATTCAGTCACAGCATCAGCCGGCCGGGCAGCAGCAGCAGCAACGTCAACAGCCGGCGCAGCACCCCGCCCAGCATCAGCAACACCATCCGCTACCGCCGGCCCAGCACCCCGCCCAGCATCAGCAACCCCCCCAGCACCATCGGCAAGGGCCGCCGCAACCGGCGCCGTACTGCCAGCCGACCCAGCAGCCGGCGTACCAACAGCAGCTGCCCCAACACGGACACCCACAGACCTACGGTGGACCTGCGTACCACGGGGCTTCGCTGGCCTACCCTTGAGCGCAGCCGTTCGGAGGGTACGGAGGGCACGGGGGCCCCCCATGTTGTGCGCGACTTCTCCTCACCCCACGAACAACCGTGCGTTTGTCGTCGACCTGACCCAGCACAAGCAAAGGGACGACATAGCAAACAAGGTGGCGAGGATCATGGGCGCCACGTCCAAAATCCTTTGAAAACACCCGTGTTCCAGGGACCTCCGGTAACTCCTCCGACCACGATTTACTTCCGGCGGGACCCCTGCCTGTTCAGCGACCGCCTGAAGGACGCCTTCCGGATGGTTGGCATGGGGATCATCCGCCTCCAGGAGGACGTGCCGTCTGCCACTGGCGCGGGGAATGCTATGAACGTCCTGGCCTGATGACCGCACGCCCTTGCGGTTCGACATCGTCTACAACATGATTCTCGCTGCCACCACGGATGTCAACTCCCGTGGCCAGGATGTCCAAGTGTACAACTTCAACGGTGGCCGGTCATAGGTTCGGTTCGAACATTTCTCGGCGATCCACGCCCTCCCGCTGCTGATCGCCAAGACCCCGCCATCAGCAGCCAGAGGGCGTGTGTCGCCGAACCCATGACATGCCACCATTGAGGTTGTACACTTGGACATCTTGGCCACGGGAGTTGACAGCCGTGGTAGGTAGCCTTAGCGGCGAGAAACCTGTTGTACATGATGTCGAACCGCAAGGGCGTCGGTGGAGGTGGTGCTGATACCGAACGTCGGGCGGGTGCCTTTCCTGTCGACGAGGCCCGGATGGTTCCACCACCCCGTGTGCGCTTTGTGGGCGTCGCAGCCATCGACTTGTCCTCCGGGGGAGCAGAGGCCGGGAGATCAGTCGGTTGGGGTGGTGTGCGGGGAACCATTCATTCCTCGCGTTAGTTACCCTGGGATTACATCGAAACGCGGCTCCTCGACACGGACGGCTTCCTCCATCGGGGCAGCGTGTGCCTCTCCATCGTCCGTTTCGTCCGTCGGGTCCATCCAGAGGCTAGCGAGGGCGATGGAGAGTTCCTCGTCCATGCTACTCCGCGGGTCCGCCTGCCTGTTTCGTGTAGCCGTGTGCACTGACCGATTCTCGGAGCATACACGGCAGGGTGTGAACGCCTCGAGCGCCCAGGTGGCGTCGATCCGCCGGACAGTTGGCGGGACGTTGAATTCGTCTTGGGGCTGTGTTGGGCTTGACGAAACTCTTCTCAAGACAGGTCTTGGGCGTCACCAAGAGGCGCGTCGTCGGTGGAAAGTACAACTTATTTCCTCTTATTTCAACAATCCACCAGCACAACAGTGATCTATTATCATACATCTCACAGATCCACACGCTAGATGTACGTGTGCCTGTTCAGTCTGAATATTTCTTGTCCTGACTGTAATTTAGCTGTTTCTCAAATGTTTCGGATCAGGACCATAGATAGGCTGACACTGCCGCGTTGGGTGACACATCAGGGAAGATCCGATCTCTCTCTCTCTCTCTCTCTCTCTCTCTGTCTCTCTCTCTCTCTCTCTCTCTGTCTCTCTCTCGCCCCTATCTATGTTATACTACTGGTTTTAGTGGCAGCCGTGTGGTTGAGCTGACTACAAGCGACGGTGACTTTGGGGCCACTAGAACGTCGTATGCATATATTGGGCTGAAACGTTGCGAATTACCATTCGTTTGGTACCGGTATGGGAAGATCAGTGGTGATGATCGATCGACATCAGCACGTCGGCGCTGCGGCTGCTACGTTTCCTTGCACGGGCGCCTGTGATACGCGTGTGTTTGCGGAAGATACACCAAGATACGCTGCGGGTAAATTCTCCCTCACCGCTGGATGCTCTGTTGTTGCTACTGACATCTTCTTGGGAAAGAGCCACCAAAGCATGACGAACAAGTACCCATGGAATGACCACAAGCTTAATGGCGGGTACTACCATGTCGAGGTGACGTATCAGCAGAGGATTGTGCCGTATGGATGAACGCAGCCACTCATCCACTCTTGTCCTCTCGTGTCGGTTTGCGCGGTTTAATTGGTGCCGTTTCGATTGGCCACATCGATTCGGTTGAACTCGGTTGATCTTGCGCTTGCGCGGGTTGCGAAGACTGCTGTCACTCCAACACTGATGGGAGCTATTGGGAATTGGGAGAGGGTACTTTAGTAGGTAACAACGTGTAATGCGTGTGCCTTTGTCTAACTATCATCAATAGCGCAACCGACTGGGACGAAAGAAAAAATATTTGTTTTGTAGGGGGACGACAAACGCTCCGGCTGTCTTGTGTGTCTGTGTACAGTGTACACAGACTTTTGTACATAATCCGCCGCTCATTTTTTTGGGACGTCACTCTAGTCTCGGCTGTCTGTTTCGTTCTCTTCTTTCCTTGTGCAACATGCTATTTCATAGCCAAGAATTAAGACGTTTTCGTCCGGCCACAACCTCTATCCTCGTAAAACATCCAGGATTTGTTCGTGAAGTTCAATAGCTAGTCTAGGCTCGCCATTCCTCTTTGAACGTACGGTGCGGTACAGTAGTACTTCGTACATGGGTTTGCTAAGTTAGACTACATCGGCGACGTCAACACCAGAGGTTCCATGAACGATATCGAAAACATGTGTTTAGGTCCAAAACGTAGCTGCAGTGTGCGAAGTCTCGACTGATGATTTGGTTGTTGAAGCGCCCTAACCAAACAACAAAGCGTTCCCCACAACAACAGAGCGAGCGACGAAAACGCACTGACGACATGCTGCATGGTTCATCGCCAAAAGGACGCCCGTAGTCAGTCATTGTAACACTAAGAACATGACGGGTAGCGCGTTTGCATGCACATCCGACCACGATTGTCGTTACACTTGGTGCCCGGAAAGGAACTTGTCGTACGTACGTACGCCGCCGCTACACACCCGTCCGGCCAAACTCCCGAAAATTGAAAGTGCTGATGCCCTCAACAACCTCATTCCCTATATTGAATAAATCGGGAGAGGAAGCATTGCAAATAAATGCAGTAATAATGTGGAGTACAGATGAACATGTCAACAATATCGTTTGTTGTGATTCCGATTAGAAGAGCGTTGTCCTGCACAACGATGACGCGGGACGCGTGAAGCATCGCACACGCAATTCGTTACGGCAGCCTCCTCTCTCTGCCACTCCTTGGAACAAAATGCCCCCTCCGGCTCGGCAAAATAACATCTCTTCTCAGGGACGTAACGTGCATGTCACCTCCAAGTACCGTGCCATTCGACGTACTACGGTAGGTCTCCTCTATTATGGGTACCCTCTATCTAAACCTTCCTCTCTACACGCGACCAGCACCACACTCCATCCTTTCGCGTGAAAGGAGACCGGTCTCTCGTCAATGCCCCTAACATGGAAACTCATGTAATCTGTAAGTGACCATAAATATGCGCACTGATTCCCACCCGCTCAAGACAGCTATGTTCGAAACGACTACATCACATGCCCTTCTCGGACGTTTCCCTTTCTTCTCACTACCAGTTGAGCCCCACCCCCCCCAA